TTCTGGGGCAATATATCGCACAACAAAAAGTTGTTATCGTGTCAGGCCTATGTCCTCTTTGCTCCGCGATGTATTTTTTACTGCTTGAGAACATGGTGTGTGTTGTAAGAGCACCATGGCTTGTCGGGCATAACAACAAGGGGGGTGGGACTTTGCAAAGGGTCAATTGTGTCGTGTAAATGTACACTTAGTGTGAGATATCACATGTATCAGGGCAGGAACATCATCATTATGGTCAAACCAAAGTTTTAGTCTTTTGAATCGATTGTTCAGCATCACACTTCTGGGCTTCAGCCACAACTCAGAAGTGATTTATGTCTAAGACGTTAACTTATAGCCAATGAATGTGATGTTGGCTGAGGTCAACATTGTTTAATCCTCAAAGTGATACAGCCATGACTGGGTTTGAGCAAATGTTAGTCTTGATTTTCTGCTGTAAAAGGACTATAATTAAGATAAAAATCAGACTTTCATAGATGAGGCTTTTTTTAAAGTTCCCGCGTGTATTTTCATAAATGTATGAAGGCTTAACGGTCTCAAATTATGGCATCAGTGCTAGTATATGGCACACATGTGCACTTAAATGCTGTGTTGTGGCCTGCTGGAGGATAAAAGTGTTTTAATACTGCATAATTGCATATGACCAAAACAATCCGAGGACAAAAATGTGTGGTGCGTGTTTTTGTGGAAAGAGTAAATTTGTGCATGCACGCAAACTGGCATGAATTTGTCATGGATGACTTCCCATCCCGACATGGAAACACCCGGCTATGCCGTGCAAAACAGCTGCCTTCTCCATCCTCTATTTTTTAAAAGCATGGATTATATTATGAAATGCATTACTTGCCTCAGTTGATACGCTGTTAAATATCGGTTTATAAATAACAAAGAACAGAACTGTCAGCTGATATAAACAGAGTTTGACATAGCTAGTAAAACAACGTGAAGGTCAGACTACTCGTGTTGGGAGTCACGTGAAAAAGCTGCGTTAAAGGGCAAATGTTGATGCTGAAAACATTTGCGTTTGTCTCATTATTGGAAAGAATACCTTATGACGGATTCCTAAAATGCCATACTTTTCTGAAAGTTAACTGAAAACCACAACAAACCACCCATGGACAGATCAACATGGGTATCAAATAAAGCATGCATGATCTTCTTTATTTGCTAAGGGTGTTGCCTTGTGTTACCTGGCTCAAGTTCACACATGTGGTTTAAACCAAATTTTGGATTGGGTGGATTCAGGTCAGAACTGATAAACAGACATTATCCTTACGAAGGGGCTGAGCCAAGTTAACACCCAACTGTTTGCGATTGTGTCCTAATTGAAGTGAATGCATTATTAATCAGGCTGACTTCATGAAATTGGCAAATGTCTGGTTGTTTCCTCCCAAACAGAACTCCCCCCAATTTATTTATTTGCTTATTTTATTTTAAAATGACTGGGACATGTTTGTTGGATAATTTCCTGATTACTCAGAGGAGAATTATTATCATGCGTTATCCCTTATTTATTGCTGTATATTGCAGATGTTTATTATTATTCATCGGACGTGGTTCAGCTTCATCATGGTTTATTATTGAGTTCCTTTTGCCGGGCAATTGCATTGGATGAACAGATTATTAGGTAATGATAGGAAGAATTTCAGAGACAGCAGCTCCCCTCACAACACGACACAAGCACTCTACGTCTTGCCTTATGCAAAGACACCCTCAGACTCGAGTTTCAAAAGAGCTCACGCCAGACTGACCGGCAAACAGTTAAACATTCTGACGCCGACTTTATCACCCAGGTTTATTTTTCACAAGGTGTTAGTTTGGTTCAAATCACATGGAGTAACTGACCCTTTGCTATGTTCTGCTGCCATTGGTTACTGTTGTTGGCAAAGACGAGCTTTACAGAACATCCCATACAAATGAAATGGGGATTTGCACACAGTTTTCAGTAGAATGTGCTTATGAATTGACATCAGAAAGCATTTTTATCTTTAGCTTTTCTTAATTTGTTCAATTATTCTGCTATTCATTAAGGAATAACTTCAACTGGAATATTGAGTTTTTTCTTTTTCCATTCTTCTTTTGTTTTTCTTCCTCCTTCCTTCTCTAGTCATGGAAGCTGAGAGACACCCAAAGCTCCCAGCTCTCTGCATAAAGATGCTTTCAGATGTGACTTTACTGGAGCTCCTCAAACACCCCAGAACATCTGGAGCATTCCTAGTCCAATCCAGCTGACATATTCAGACCCTGCTCGCTATAATACTCACGTTTTTTAACCTGTACATCTGTCCTCTTCTAAAACTCTCAGAAAGATGAAAATGATCCAGATGGTCTAAGGGACTAAAGGGATGTCTAAATCATGTAGATGACAAACCAGGACCTCGTAAATCGTTTCTGTTGATACATTCCCAGGCTATACATTACACTGTTCATTTACTGTGAAACACTCTACAAAATACAAACGCATCTGATTTTTCGATGCTCGGGATGTCTTTGGCATTTACGCTATATCACCTAGCGAAATCTTTTCTCAAACGAAAATCATTTGCAGAGGTCTCGGGTCTGAATGACTTCACCAGAGACAATCTCAACCTCACAAAGACATTACACAAATCCACACCTGCTGTGAAGACACATAGTCTAAGATGAAGCTAACTTGATTAGTTCTAACTAATCTGGCTTTAATTTGTTTGCCGAATACTGACTGCCAGCTGTTTAGGATGTTCTTATTAATGTCAAACAGAGCATGTTACGTGGCGTTCTTCAGAAAGATGCAAAACCATTCCAGAATGCTTTGAGTCTGAGCGGAGTTTTCCATGGCACGATCTGCTCTGACACTATTACCAAAGCTTCCTGCTGCTTCTTTTCAGCACATAAGACATAGACGGATGACTACACGAGGGAATGTGCTGGAAAGACAAGGAGAAAGAATAGAATGACAAATTAGGCCAAAAACATGGATCGAAAGGAATAAGAAAGCTGGAAAGTTTGTAAAAAACTTGTAAAAAAGTGCGTAATTGTAAGAACAAGAAACAAATGTCCATCACTGATAAATCCAGACAATGTCAAACAGTGAGGAACAAAGCATAAATTGGACTCTTATATTTGAGTCAGTGACAAAATGCTCAATATTTAGTCCATATCTATTTAATTAAAATAAATAAATAACACTTAAAAATGCAGTTTACACCAACAACTTGAATGGTGTAAAATGTTTTTTGGTTTGTAAATGAAAAGTAACTTTGGTACATTGTTGTTTAGTCAAAAATGCCCAGGTTGTATAATTATAATTACTACATGTGAAAAATATATGAAAGAAAACAATCTTTTTTTGAAAATAGAACTGTGGACATAATCTTTTACATTATATATTTTTTATTTTAAAATATTCAGGTCACATGGGTTATCTTTATTTTTAACCTTTTACCTTTTGAAAAAGAAAAAAAATAATCGTGTATTCAAAAAGGAATTGTAATACTTAATAGTTACACTACATGAACTTTTTGTAGAAAATTTGTTCAGAAATGTATGAAACCAACAAAGATGAAAGTTTTAAGAACTTTGTTTCAAAGGGATAGTTCACCCAAAAATGAAAATTCTGTCATTAATTACTCACCCATCGTGGTACTCTCATGAACGCGTACGCGTCAAAGACTGACATGGTGGAGAAAAAATGTTTTTTGTTTTTTTTTGCGCACAAAAAGTATTCTCGTTGCTTTCTAAAATTAATGTTGAACCACTGATGTCACATGGACTATTTTAATGATGTCCTTACTACCTTTCTGGGTCTTGAACATGTCAGTTGCATTGCTGTCTATGCAGAGTCAGAAAGCTCTTGGATTTCATCAAAAATATCTTCATTTGTGTTCCGAAGATGAACAAAGGTCTTACAAGTTTAGAACGACATGAGGGTGAGTAATTAATGACAGAATTTTCATTTTTGGGTGAACTATCCCTTTAAGTTGGATATTTAAAAGATTACTTACTATTTGGCCGTTTTACACCAACAAAATAGTCACATCTGTTCAGATCAGAAAGTCATCTTAAAGTAAATGTTTTCCCAGAAAGCAGAGCAACTGGTATCCTACACCTGACCATCTAGATGCCGTATGCACTGACACACCGCCTATTCCCTTACTCAACTATATTAAATGTTTGCTGCAGCAGATAAGAGGAAAGATCTGACATCCGATATGAGACCAGCTCAGCCATTTCCATTAGAATGATCAAAGTCATGGAAACATTATTCTTGAGTTAGCACCCAGAGATAATGTTTCAAGCACATAATCTAAGCTTTATGTCATACTGTGGATATATTAACAACAACAAAAACATGTATTAAATGTCACTGTGATATTTAGCACTTCAGATTAAAGCAAGTTTATCACTGCAGACCATTAAACTGACTGCAATAGTGACACGTTGAAATTAAACCGCAATTAAACCTGCTAAATCGGTATTGTGCAAGTCTGGTGATCAGGAAAAATATTTTCAACAATTTATCTGAAAAATGTAATTCAACTAGTAGTCTAATGTCATATTTTTAATAACAGTCCAGTGTGTACCCAAAAAGTATTCACTATTTCCTTGATCTGACTTTAGTTTAATCAGATTAAAGGGTTTGACTGTGTCCCAAATTATAAGTAACTTTGCCATTTATGAACTAATCCAAAAATACAATTCTTTCAGAAAATGTCCACATTGTTCAACAAAGTGATGTTAATGAATGTGAAGATTTCTCTGCTAATCAATGAACAAAAGACCAATAAAAAGCATATCTTTATGTTAGTAAAAGCTTCAGCCAATCTTTAGTATTTTAGCAATTTTGAACACATTGTCAAAGCCAAAGTTGCACATTCAGAGCTCATGACTGTGGCACAGGGATATAATGAAGGACAAATAGACCCCTCAGTCTGGTTTAGAGCACTCTGATGACCTTACTTGAAGAGGACCCCATCTAAAAGGAAATGTGCTGATTGGAGTCTGACATGAATCATTCTTACCTTGAAATGACAGGAAGACACGTGGCTGTGGTGGAAAAAGACCATGGATGCAGGTGACACAGAGGACGAGGGGAAGTAACAACTGCATGCTCGTCCCAAGCAACCAAACCCAGAGCGCTCCTGATCTCCCCATGACTGCTGAGGAGACACCCAGACCAGCCCACCTGCAAAGATAAGGTGAAGGAACGGTTAAGGACAAAAGAGTTGTACTGGGGAGACTTCAACTTTTAAAGTACATGGAGAGCATATAATATATGCACTTTGAGGGTGGAGGTGGATTACATAAAGGAATAAGACACTTAAAAATTCCATTAATAACAAGTATGTATGCCTTATTTATCAGTTAAATTATTTAAATGTAAATATATTTTAATGTTAGATACCTCTTGAGAAGCAAAGATACGTAAGATATTAAGATACGTTTTCAAAGAATGTATTTTAGTACAAGACTTTGTCTTTTACTTTAAGTACAAGTTAAAACAAGGGAAAAATTCTGTGCGTGGCGTAAGACAAAATAAAAGTATATTGAAGATACAATTTATGAAAACTATGAAGTCTTGTTTTAAGAATTATTTTTACGATAAAAGAGTTTTAAGATATTTTTACTTGGATGATATACTGTATATAGCATTTACAATAATTCTCTTATATCTTAATACGTCTATGGGGCAAGCCATTACACCTGGATAAATGTTCAAATTCACACTGTTTCAAATATACAATCATGCACGTTAACAGACGATATAAGACTATTACGCCTATGCTCAGTTATACTATTTTTTTCCTCATTTTTAACTCCTGTCATGATCATGTAAAGAGACAAGTGGCAAATCACAAGAATTACGTTGGTAAGCTCATTTGACTTGTAAAGTAGCTGTAAAAAAGGTCACTTTGTAAAACCTCAAATAATGCACATTTTGTATGAAAAAATTAACATAACCGCTTAAATGCAAGCTTCATTTAGCTTCAATTTCTTGCCCCATAGACTTCCATTATAAGTGCATTACAGCACATGCATTTTTACAAACTAAGAAACAGTGTGGTAATTGACATCATGCTGCAGATTTTGATAAAGCTCAACTTTTATCGAACCCACAACATTCCTTTTAAAAGTTCAACATTTTTTGAATGTGAGACATTAGCCACTTTCTGTGTGAAAAAATGGCTTTGATATAGTGCTAAATCAACAGTGTATCAAAACCAGCCAGTTAAAATACATATTTCAACGCTTGTATCATAACAGTCGTGCCTTGCTATCCATGAAAGCATTTTCCTTAAAGGCCTACTGTGAGTCTTAGTGCTGAGAAAGTGTCATGTAGTTAATGCATTTAGTCATGATATCAGCCAGTGCTGTATAAACAATGGTTCCTGTCCAGCCAGAGTCGATATTTTACCTTTACAGTGTAAAAGGAATGTCAGTGTAGGGGTAGCTCAAAGAAATGGATGCTTTTATTTCTAACAAAATAATGAATGGAAACTTCCCTGTGTTTCTTTCCTCTCTATTTTGCTATGGGACAACAAAAGTTCAATAATACATGGGGAGAAGTTTGATTTCCTGTGGAAGAACTCTTGCTTTATGCTCCAGGCAGAACAGACAGCCTTCTCTGACCAGGACACTCTTGGAAAATAAGAATACATGCGGTTCATAATTTTGTATTAATGATATGTTTGTGTTGTAGCAGAGAGAGTGCAGAAGGACAAAGAACAGGGTAAGAATAGCACAGTCTCAATGCTCATGTCTTATACATGAATCATGTGAAAGATTGATAGGAACTTTGTACTAGACATCTACAGTGCATGTCTGACTCACTAAGGTATGAACACACTGCACAGGGTGTGTTCACAGTGAACAGCAATGCAGGAAAACACCACTTAAGGTGCCGTTTGCACAGTTCAAATGCACTTCGTTTTGTATGTAATCATCTGCTATATGGATGATCTTTGACGTGCTTCATTGGTTTTTCAGCACCTTACGCCATGAGCACCACATTTTTACGAAGCCGTGTCATATCAAGTCTTTTTTCTTTTTATGTAAAGAGAAAGTTCACCAAAAGATGAAAATTCTGTCATTTACTCACCCTCGTCACAATAAATTTTAGTGATTTGTGTGATTTTAGTTATTTGATGGTAACTTTATAGTACTGAAGTACCGCCACACTAATGCAAGAACATATTATGTACAACAGGACCGCATGAGTTTGTATGCTTGTGTAGAATATATTTATAAGTGAGAGTGTGTTTGCCTGAGTGTTTGTGATGAGGAGAATAAATAAGTCTCAATGGTGTTTTTTTATTAGTTATGAGTGCATATTTACAAGGGTGCGCATGTGTATACATGTGCGTGTGTTTGTTTGAGCATATGATAAACTGCAGCGAGCTGAAATGTCTTTGGCAGCATGTATTGGAGAGAAGCTCTTAAGCTGGGTGGAGGCTACCGCTCTCTGGACAGTAATGGCTTTCTACTGCTGGTCAGAGCCTGCCAGACATATATACAGATGCGAAAGTCATCATGGGCCATCATAGATCCATCACTCAGCCAAAACTAAGCATGAGCTGATGTTCAAGCTTCTATGATCACAACGCTTAAACGAGACATAATCCCTCATTAATTATGTGTCTAATGACCATGCTTCTGATTCTGATTGGTCAGTCGCAGCATTCAGTGATCAAATATTTTTTTTCTATAATGACAGCTAAACAGTACATTTCTCCAGGGCTACTTTTATATCTCTTGCATCACTCCGTGGTCTCTCTATTATTTTTACTTCCAACACAAATTAGAATAGCTACATACCGTAATCTTACGACTTGAAACGGTTAACTACCGATTGGCCTTGGATCACTTTAGTATTATGTTTATGGTGGGCATTAAACATTTGATAGATGTAGAATTCATCTTTCTAGTTCATCTTTCTAGAAACTGTTGAGTCTCCAGTTAAAGCAAGAAAATAAAAAATCACATACTTAATTGAGAATTAGTTTACTGAGAAATTAACTTTATTGCATATAATAATAATAATATCATAAAAAATATATTATTAATAATAAAAAATAATATTAAAAATATATAGAACATAACTACTGTAATATGTTGTAATGGAGTATTATTTATTGTTAATCATTTCAGTTATAGGTAAGATTTTGGACCGGTCATTGCTTGTTACATTGCAGCTGGTTAGTACTAACTAACTAAGGCCTTGTCCACACGAACGCGGTTATTTTTAAAACCGCAGCTTTTTCTACGCGGTTAGGCCGTTTGTCCACACGCAAACGCAGCGCCAGTTCACTGAAACCGAACATTTTTGAAAACGCCTGCCAGGGTGAAGATTTTCAAAAACTCCGGTTGCAGCGTTATTGTGTAGACAGCGAAACCTGAGTTTTTGGCTTGTGACGTCGACGCCTGCGCTGTTATCTCCACCTACTGGAAACTTTTTCAGGCTTCTGATTGGCCAACATGGCTTTACGGTTGAGATTATATCGCCACCTGCTGGTTTGGCATGCTCTTGACAGTGCTTCATAGCATGCGTTTGCGTTTTCATGTGGACGAAGATTTTTTTTTAAACGGAAGAAGGAAAAACTCTGTTTATAAAAATACCCGCGTACGTGTGGACATGGCCTAACTAACTAACTAAAATTTTATTTAATATAAATAAAAAATTGTTTTGCTTTATTGCATCATGGCTGGTTAGCACAAGTAGTCCTATTAAACTTTATGTTAGCACCTCTCACATTTCTGGAGGAAATGTAAAGTCTATGACATTTGGCTGAATTGTTTAAAACTATTTCACTGACATTTCCCCATTCCTAATGAATTCTGTCATGAGGTGATTTCTGACTGGCTTTTAACCACAACACGATCCAAGCTCGATCACAGTGTCATCTGAGAAACTCAAACGTCTATCAAAGCTGTCATAATGTGCGTTCATACCGCTTCAGCTCGGAGCACAGCAGCCTGGAAACGTATTACGAGCGGTTTATCTTCAAGCTTATCGTCTTGTGTTTATCATGGCTATCTGCGTAATGAGTTTTCCATCTTTCTCCTTATGAAAGTGTCAGTCAAAACCAATTATTGCTCACGAGGAATATAACAGCCACCTTCAACTAAGAACTGGCTCATCTAAAATAGGTTAAACGGATGGAAGGAAATTAAGTGCCTTTTGTGATGTTCTAAAACAATGCTATGGAAATTCCATTATACAGTATGAATGTTGTTTTGTAGCTCTACTTGCCTGTGCAAAACTGCCATGAAGGTGTTCTTGGTGGTCGCCAGAGCATTGCTATGTGTTTGCTAGTCTCTGTGATATTCAAGTCTTTGTATATGTTTCGGGTTTCTCCTTTAAAATAAGTCCGTGAGATTTTGTTTGTCAATTTTATTAGGGCTGCAAAACGATTCGTGGCGATTAATCGATTCAAAATAAAAGTTTATGTATACATACTATATGTGTGTGTACTGTGTATATTTATTATGTATATATAAATACACTAGTGCTGTCAAGCGATTAATCGCATCCAAAATAAAAGTTTTTGTTTACATAATATATGTGTGTATACTGTGTACATTTATTATGTATATATCAATACACACACTTACAGTATGTATTTCAAAAATATTTACATGTAGATATTTATATTCATATAATTTATATTATAAATATATTTAAAATATAAACATAACATATTTTTCTTAAATATATACATGCATGTGTGTGTGTTTATATATGCATAATAAATATACACAGTACACACACATATATTATGTAAACAAAAACTTTTATTTTGGATGCGATTAATCGCGATTAATCGTGTGACCGCACTAAAATACACACACATATATGAATATATTTAAAAAAAATATTTGTATGTAAACACTTGTATATAATTCATATTATATACAAATATAAATATTTTACATATAAATCTATCATATTTTTCCTTAATATATACATGTATGTATGTGTATTTATATATACATAATAAATATACACAGTACACACACATATAGTATGTAAACATAAACTTTTATTTTGAATCGATTAATCACGACTAATCGTTTTGCAGCCCTAAATTTTATCATCCGTCAGATGAAATTTGTCGCTTACTTGCAACTCAGTGAATTTTTGCTAGCGAAATCCAGTCATTTCAATAGGAATCCATGAGTTCTGAGTGAGGCAGAAAGATTTCCCAGTGCAGATTTTGCAATGGGTTCAAGTTGGTCACACAAAATTACTGCGTTGACCAACAGAAAGCTGTTTGGTTTGAAAGTGACTTCTGTGTGAGCTGTGCTTCATACATTGCTACGCTATTGACAATAGACAATGGACCTTTTTCACTCATGAATATGAATGTGATCACACCTTTTGCAATAAAAGCAAACTTTCACAACAAATTGCCAAATCATGTCTGTATCACAAACTGAGAAGTACTGGAGAAGTAATGTGCCAAAGTTTAATGTTAGAGATTCAAATCTTTAAAAAAAAAAAATTGAAAACATCATATTTTAGTTGTAATTTGATATTTTTAGTACATTTTATAAGTGCTGCCCTTTTTTTAAAGAGAGCTGCCCGTCACTATACCACACCCTGTCGTTCACAGACTCGTACTCGCACAATACCAGGCATGCACTCACTACCACAATGTGACAGCAGTAAAAGTCCCCAGTCAATACTGCATTTTGTATTAGACCAAATCCCAGATACTATCTTTAGGGCACACTTATATAATAATAACATCACTGTCTTAAGTCTCAAACTCCCTAGACTCATTCACACTCACTGCTGTCCTGTCTGTGAGACACACAGCACACATTCCCCAATGTCTCTACCTATAAAATGAAACGCTCAGGATGCACAAAATACATACCAGTGATCAAATCGAGACAACTAGACAATAGCTCTTTTTCACAATATCTAATAAAGAAAATTACAAATGGAACATTAGGTAAGAAATCCGATTTTGTTCCAAAACACATCTATGAAATTTGGTTGAAAGCAACAAATCACTTTTTTAAACAAGCGATACACATTTAAATTTAGCATTTCACTAAAATCAAGCAAAAGCAATTAATAAAAAATGTTAATGGGGTAAGAAAAAAATACTAAGTAAATTTACATGTAAAAATGACTGAAATTAAGCTATTTTAGCTTCTGAGAAACATTTTTGGGACATCATCAGGTCTTAAAAGAATTCCTTGTTGGTTTTTTTTTTTTTGAGTAAAAAACAAAGCTCAGAAATATGAGTGTCTATTTCTAAAATAAACATCTTTTTTTTATATAGACTCTTCTCTCAGTGGCTGAAGCATGAGGTCTTATGATTTCCTGTCTCTGGTGGGCGTCTGCACCTGTTAGCCTGAGCCTGGAGTCCCCCCTCCCTTAAATCTGTCCCGTTCGGTCCACACAGGAGCCCATCTGCCCCTAACGGGACTCACCTTCTGAGGCTTCCCAGCCGTGCTGTCCTCACTGAGCAGGGAGTGGGTGAGTGCTGTAGTCTCAGACGTAGTGTTGCGTGGACTTCCCCAGCGAGAGTGAAGCGAGGTGTTATTCCAACCGGCTGACTGCGGGACAGGGAAGGAGAGAGGTTGAGAAGATTGAGAGAGAGAAGGGTGGACTGGTTTCCTATTACACTCCTCTCCTCTTGAGCCCCCCTCCTCTTTTCTTTCCCCTCCTCTCCTCCCTCTCTCTCTCTCTCTCTCTCTTTCTACAAGTCACGGAACAGATATTCCAGACCTCTGAGTCTGACTCTGCTTGCACAGTGAGCAGCAGCAGCAGTCCAGGAGACGGGGCCAGAGCTCCAGAGTCACATTCTGCTTACTGAGGCCCCTTTAGATCTTTCAGCGAATTTGCTTCATTTACATAAAATGACAACACAGCTCAGCAGGTGAAATAAAAAAATAATAATAATTTTTATATATTTTAACAGTTTATTTGCATTGAAGAAACAAAAGAAAAAAATTGAAATCTTTTGTAATAATGAAAAAAGAATAATACATTTTTTTTTTATTTAGTTTTAATCCTGTTGTATATTTCCTGTATAGCACTTTGGTTTCAACATCTGTTGTTTTTAGATGTGCTTTATAAATCACCAAACTAAACAACTGAATTTGTCCTTCCTGAGAAATTACATTATTTTCTATATATTGCCAGTAACAGCAAAAATGCTGCAAGAGCTAAAAATTGTTCCTTTTGAAATTAAGCACACTTTAGTTTAATAGATGAAATTAAGTAAATGAAATTAGTTAATATAAATGAAACATAATATAAATGAAATTAGTTAATAAATTACAAATAAATATAAACTGCCAATGAGCTAAAAACAGATTTACTATCTATAAAGTATAAGACATTTTTTAAGCCATTTTAACTTTTGAGAAGCATTTTTGTCACATTATCAGGTAATACAATAATTTCTCATAATATCTTTAAAAAATATATAAAATAGAATAAAATAAGTATTTAACATTTAAGACCATTTAACTAAAAGTGCCAATTCATTTCTGTTACCTGTTAACTGACAATATACAGATAAAATAGATTAATTTAATTCCCAATGACATCAAAAAAAGTTATTTTTCTCTCCTGTTTAAAATTGATCAAGAAGTTCAAAATAATTTAAAAGCAATCATAAAATGAACCCCAACAGGGTGATCAGGATCAGGAAGCCTAATATTTTGCAATCCTATCTGGATACACAATTATATGGTTAGTAGCTTTTTATTATTTGCATTTAACATCCCTGCTATGTGCGGCTATCAGAACAACCCTGCGGACAATTTGAGGCACAGCCCCCTTGTTCAGAACAACCGGATTAAACTATCATCCTGCCATTAATATAAAGCACCATTAGTCAACAGTAAAATGTCTCCATACACACATCCACATCCCAGATTAACTGTCCAAGATTCCAGTTGCAAAGGGCGTGCAGGGAGCTGGACATGCTGCAGCCAATTTTGCAAACCACATTGTGCAGACTTCAGCAAGGAAAGTCAGAATTGCCCTCACTACCGCAATTCCACTGCCAAGTTATTAATTACAGATGGTGAAAGCTGGATCTGTATCATGTGAATGATAGCCAAATGTTAAATGAGATTACAACGAGCCCATATACAGTACTCTAAATTAAATGCATGACAGCGACAGTGGCCCCAAAAAGAATTTGGCCACTTAAGTCTCTTAAAATTGTGCCTTGTTTTGCTTCCAAATGCCACTTGGTTTCAAATTGTGTGTCTAATGCAGTGACCTTTATGCATTTTTGGATGACTTAAGTTTCAAGTACTTGTACAATCAAACTTTAGCAGATAAAAAAGCAAATATGGTACCAGTCAAAACAAACAAAAGGATGGCCAATTGATTAGAGAAGACAATTTGCTCACCAATGTTGTGGCATGACCTATAAAGATATCTTGTATTCCTTTGACCATAAATGCCCTCAGTTGTCCCTTGGGGACCCATTAAAAAAAAAATCTTTAGATCAACTCAAAAATTAAATTATTTGTCTTTTTTCTTAAAAATTAAAATAATAATAATAATAATCAGTTATAAAACCAGTTTGTTTTTTATAACCTTCCCCCCTAGAAATTAAAATAAAATAAGATAAATATATAAATAAATAAGGCTATTGCACAGATATAATATGCAACGAAACAAAGAAAAAATAAGGGGGGGAATCTGAAAGTAAATATATTAAATTCATATTTTAAGCAGTTTACTAACATTATTTATTATTGTTTTAATATATTTACTGTCAAAAACTATTTTTCTTCCTTTTTTTTTGTTCCATATTTCATATATACAATAGCGTAATTTATTTATTTTATTAGGGAAAAGGATAAATTGCAGTAAGCAAACTGCTATTGTAAAATATCTGCATTGTTCAGCTGTTGTGAGGTCACTGATGTGTGAAAGGGTTTCCTGTGGTGGTGAGTTGTAATTAGAGGTTACTATATTCCTGTGTTGTAATTACAGTCTCAAGTTAAATACTCTCAACAGATCTCAGGTTGCTGCCACTTTATAGCTTCAATTTTAATACGTAAGCAGTCTGCCTGGCTTGCAGTGCCTCGACAATAAGACTAGCCGAAACGGTTTGTGTGGAAGTGTATGGGTGTGTATTAGTGTGTGTGTTGGGACAGCGGGAAATAATTAGCTCTTTTTTGACTCTTGAAGTGATTTACAGCTTTCCAGTGAAATGGTCAGAGTGAAGCGTTGTTCGTTGGGCTGTAAAACCACACACACACACATACACACACAAACACACGCTGTATTACTTACTTGAGGAAAGAAACAACAGCACAAATCAGAAACCGTAAATTACAATGTCTTCAGGCCTAAATCAACAAAAACATAAATGTGACTTGCTGAAATGTTTAATATTAAATACTTGACTTGTAATTCTAAAGACTTTGGTGTGATAACTCAATCTGCTTTGGGAAGCATTACTCACAGATATCTGTGATGTTAGAAACTTTTGTTTAAAATGGTTGGGTTGGCTGCCAAAACACCACTTTGCCTGAAGGAAACGTTTCTGGAATATTAAGATGATTATTTTAATGAAAGGAAAATAATACAGAGTAAATGGAGATCAAATCTGAGTCACACAGCAGAGAAGTGCTGCATTTGCTTTTGTCCACTTGTACTAATGTGTGTGTGCTTCTTTAGGTCTTTACAGATGTTTAGCATTTGTCACACTGATGTTAAGTGGCTCATACATAATCTGGGGTCAGAGGTGGCTTAAACTCTGCATTAGTAATGGTCATCACAAACAGACACACATGCTAATGTAAAGACACACAGACCACTCCATTTACTAAAACTTTACTTGTGAGACATTTAAAGATCAGAATATGGAAGATTAGACTCGAACCTGTACTCTGACGAGACCGGCACTGCTCTGACAAGTTTGCACATATATTTAAGCCAGTTTAAGTTCTATTGATTTCCTCAGATTTTTTTAGTTCAACTTCTCTCCCTAGTGAAAAATAAATATACTAAATTGTATTTGAAATACATTTATTTCATGCCAAGTATACTACTTATGTACATAATAAAAATACACTGCAGTTAGTATACTAAACTTAAAGTCTGTCAAATTGGAACAACTAATTTTGTACTTAATGTACTTTAATAGTGCAGAAGTAGTGCTAAAGTCCAACTAAAGATATACTGAAGTGTATTTGATTGAGCTAGAGTGGAACTATTGCAAGTATACTTCAGCTACACTTTAAATATCTTATATTTAAAGACTGATATTATTCAAAGACCATACAGTCCTCATCAATAATGACATTAAAACACATTTTAGGCTTAATATTAAGAAATGTGCATTGTGCACTAGGAGTACTCCAAATAAAGTTTTATTATAATTTTTATTTTCAGTAAGTCCCGAGCGACATGTCAGTAAATATGTTAATAGATTTTAAAGATTTTGAATAGATTTGAAAGTCTCTTCTTATGTTTAAGGAGCATTATTGTATAGCCACAAGACTTAAACATTTTATGAGAATAGTGTGATTAAAATTGCTTACTGACATTGCCCTCGCAAAGTTATTTCCAATTTGACTGTAGAATTGCTGAAGTTTGACTAGGGATATGCCGGTATCAAATTTTCATGTTGCGATTAATTGCTAATGCTTTTATCACGGTATGCGGTATTATCACAATATTGAAATTTAGTTTTTTTTTAAAGTGCTTTCATAATACAGTATAACAGGTTTAATAACATTTTTCTTATAACAAAAATAACTGAACATTTAAATGCAATAAAGCAATACAGAAAAATGTATAAAGTCAAAAGTTTTACACAGATTAAAGTGCAAAAGAACTATAAAGACCAATAGGTATCACTTTACAATAAGACCTCATTAGTTAACCTTAGTTAATGCATTAACATTCACAATGAGCAATAGCATTTGCTACTGAAGTTATTAATCTTTGTTTAAAAAAACACAAGTCTTAGTTCATGTTAGCTCATTAAATAACACAGTTGCAACTTTAGACAAAATTCGGAATAATTTGTAATATATAATTATTCACGGTATTTAGAAGTGCCCACGATAACAATACCGTGCATATTCATTACCGTGATATATCGCATTACCGAATACCGGCACAAGTCTAAGTTGGACTATGTGAAAAGTCAAAACTGTTCACATAGAGATGCATTTCCCAAACTGGGGTTCGTAAATCCCTGAGGGGTTGTGAGGGAACTGCATGGGGTTTGTGATTTGATGGAAAAACTAATTATAAAAATGCAAAATAAAAGCCAATGAATCACTCACTAAAAATGAAGTGTTTTATTTGTTTACCTGCATAGCATGTGACCATTTACCGACATTGTAGAACCGTGACCATGTGAATGTGTTGTGAAGTTATACAATTTTAGCTTTAAATCTCCAAAAATTCAAATAATAACAATCAAAAAGAAATTCTTACTGTTAAAAAAAGCATGACATATCTCATTTGACCTGCATGTCACCATTAACCAACATCAGAGAACTGTGAATGTTTGAATATGTTTACTTTATTGAAATATTAACTTAAAGGGGTCATATGATGCTATTTTAAAGATAATTATTTCGCATCATATGACCCCTTTAAAATTGCACTTCAAGTAAATATTTTAAGCCAAAGGCTGACAAAAAAATTGTGAATCTCTGACAAAAAATCCACTGGTGAAAATTACATTGGTAGTGCATAAAGTTCATCCATCTACAACTGTGGTTCCACCACTAAAAAGATGATTTAAACAACTTTGCTGCTCAAATAAGACATTTTGTGGATACATTTATGTAGGTGAATTAACTAAAATACAAGCTTTACATTTCGACTTTCATTGGACTTTGGTTAAGCCAAAATAATTTTTAATTGTATAATAACAATC